AGGGACGTGTTTACACTGTCCTTAAAGCAATTTTAACTCATACTATAATTGCTATGGGTTACCCGAGTTAATATGCTTCCAGGATTTTCTTAAGTTTGAGATCAATTAAAGCAATGTAATTGAACTCCCTAAGAACACTTTAAGAACAATAAGAATGGATAAGGAAGAAGAAGATAAAGTAAAAGAAAAAAGGGTAAGTTATAATTTTGGAGCAATTAACTATATATAATCAACAACCTATTTAATCCAAGAGTCACTATTTCCAAAATATAGTTAATTATGATAGACTTTTAATGAAAAGTCACTATTATCATTATCAATTTAACCATAGGAAAGTAACTACTTACACTCACCCAATCGGGCCAAGCCCGTTCGATCGAGCAAATAAACGAACAAATCTTTTAACTAGGCTCGCGCCCGATTGGGTAAAGCCCGCTCGATCGAGCCATCTACACTTCATATATAAAATAAGTATGCTCTCGCGCCCGATCGGGCTAACTTAGCCCTATCGGGCGAGCAAATATTATTTTACTAAGTATATCCTCGCACTCGATCGGGCAAAGCCCGCCCGACTGGGCCCGTGGCCATAACCATGGCTCACATTAAAATTTTTGTTATACTCCAAATATTAAAAATATAAACTACTTTCTCCGTTCTTTTATTATTGCACCACTTGCCTTTTTAGAAAGTTTCACAAATATTGCACCATTTCCTCTTTAAGAAAAAAATTATTTGTGTTCACACTATAAATACCCAACATACCCTTGCTTTTTCACACTTACTTTTTAATTTATCAATATGTCACATGGGCAATTTTGTATTTTTACCTTTCTCTATCTTACTTTTTTCCACTACCAAAATATTTGCACCCAACCTCTATGGTTAAATAGAATAAAGTAAGCCAATATCTTCTATTCAACTAATGTAGGACTTTTTTTTTTCCAATAACAGGTTAAATAGAATTGATTAAGCTAACTTTTTTTTTATTCTACCGATGTGGGACTTCCATCCCAACATTAAGCTATATAGATTAACCTATACAACTCAACTTCTATTCTACAAATGTGAGACTAATTTCCCATCATTCACAAAACACATATTATGAAGACTACCCTAACAGAAATTTTCAATACACATGGCGAATTAAGAAGATATAGAGGATGAAAAATTAGCTAGAGGGACATGTTATTTTTCGACATAACATAGCCACTTTCCTAAAAATTTTTTTTTTTTTTTTTGAGAAATATGCCTTGAATCGGTGACTGAGTAGGTCCATGATCATATATGTAGTCCATTGTACACGATCGTGTAGTCAGTGTTATTACGTACTCTTCAATATACACGATCATGTGGTTCATGGTACATGGCCGTGTAGTTCCACTACTACAAGACTTGTTATACGGTCGTGTGATTCAGGGTACACGACCGTGTAGATGGGCGCATTGTTTGATTGCATAGCCGTGTGGTTATTAATTGGGCTTGGCCCAAATCAGTTTATGTTATGGAGAGTTTTATATATACTCCTTAGGGTTATTTCCTAGCCGCGACAATCATTAGTTGAGTGATTATTTAGAAATTTGAGAGTTTTTTTGTGTATTTCTCATCTGTGAGATCTGAGATAGATAACATTAAAAAGAGACAATCAATTTATTTTTGTGATTGGTCTCAAATATGTTCGATCTGTATTCCCCAAGATCAATAAAACTATTACTCTCGCCTGTTCGTGGAGGTAGCCAACATACTGTTGGTGAACCACATAAATCTGTTTGTTATTTATTTGTTTTGCATTCATTAATTTGTTCTTTCTCACATCCGTTAAAACATTTTTTTTTTTGAATAACTTTCCTAACCATATACTTGTATTAATTAGTTTAGAATATGTTTCAAAAAAAAAATAGTGTAGAATCTATTCGTATTAAATTAGTAAGCCATACTTTAATCATGATTATGAAGATGAAGTACAGACGTACAGCACTCCGCACTACGCAGTAAGTTCGTATTATGAATAAAAAAATTCGTTTGCACCACCCATGAGTAGTATGTATTGTATAACGGAATATAAAAAACAATTATTGTAAAATATTGACCAACTGTGATAATTGTATTAGATCAGTAAAGAACAAACAGATTAGTTATATTGTCGGCTGAGAAATAAGTCTAAGATGACACCCTACATTCATAAAACGACGCGCATGTTCTACAATAGTTATATGAATATACATATACATTATCCACCCTCCCAAATAGAGGTGTCAAAAGGAACCCAACCCGACTCGATCCGAAACGGACCTGAAAAATATCCAATTTAAATTTAAACTCGCGTAGACAAAATAATTTAAGAAATTTTGTGTAGAACTACCCTAAAGATAGGGTCATTTGTGAACAAAACCCAATTTTTTTTTATTTGTTTAGAACTACCCACAAGTTTGAAAACATTTGGGTATCACTACCCATTAACATTTTCCGTCCAATTAAAACGTTATTGGAGCTCATTTTTTTTTCACATTTGTCACCCAATTAACTCTCATAATTTGTATAAAGGTTTTAATCTACTTAATTAACCTAATTAGGGTTTTAATCATAATTCATTTTAGGGTTCATGAGTCTAGTATTATTTGGGGATTTTAATTTCTAAGGTTTGGAGGTTTAATTGAATTAGGGTTTTTGCTTATTTTTGCATTAATTGGCCATTGTAATTGAAAAAAGTGAAAAATTGGACCAAAATAACATTTTAATTGGACGAAAAACGTTAGTGAGTAGTGCTACCCAACCTTTTCCAAACTTAGGGGTAGTTCTAAACAAATTAAAAAAAAAAGGGTAATTGTTCACAAATGACCCTATCTTTAGGGTAGTTCTACACAAATTTTCCAATAATTTAGTATGACTTAACTTTAAAAATTGACCCAACCTGACCTCATCAGACCCGATCCAATCATCCGAATTGGCACTAGTCCCAAACACATATACATGACAAGTCATCAAGCCAGCTAACATTGCAATCTCCAATCTCGATATGACCTCATCCAATCATACTGGCCTGGTGGACAAATAACTTGACCTAGAAATTATTTCATTTGATCTTTTTTAGTTCACATGGTTTTTTTTATTTATTTTTAATCACGAATATCAACACAATAAACTTTGTATGAATCATATGAAAAGTCGTTGCGTGAAACCGGACTCATCGTAAGTTCAATATGTCTGACACTAATATTCTAATATCTGACAATTTTTATTTTTTTTTTAATATATGACATTAATATTCTAATATTTGACAATAATAATACTACATCCGTTCTTTTATTAGAGCAACTCCAATAGTTGCTTTTAGGGACTAGCTTGCAATTTTAATAATTTTCAAGCTAATAGCCAAACCATTGGAGGATAGTTTAATAATTAGCTTGGCCAAGCTAATGCCAAGCAAATTAGCTTAGCTAAGCTAATTAGAGCAACTCCAATGGTTGCTTTCAAGGACTAGCTTGCAATTTTAATAATTTTCAAGCTAATAGCCCAACCATTGGAGTATATTTAATAATTAGCTTGGTCAAGCTAATGCCAAGCAAATTAGCTTAGCTAAGCTAATTAGCTTAGAAATTAATTGTCTCTAATAAATACTAATTATTTAAAAAATAAAGCTGAAAAATCTAAATATTATTAGCCTAATCATTGTGATATGAATTAGCTAGTAGGAATAATAGCTTTGCAATCTTAGGTGGCATGGCAAGCTAATTTGACAATTAGCTTGCCATTGGAGTTGCTCTTAGCTTAAACATTAATTGTCTCTAATAAAATACTAATTATTTAAAAAATAAAGTTGAAAAACCTAAATGCTAATTAGCTTAACCATTGTGGCATAAATTAGCTAGAAGGAAGGTTAGCTTTGCAATCCTATGTGGCATGGCAAGCTAATTTGGCAATTAGCTTGCTATTGGAGTTGCTCTTATTGCACCACTTTTTAGGAAGTTTCACAAATATTACATCATTTCTTCTTTGGAAAAAAATTATTTGTGTTCACACTACAAATACCCAACATACCCTTATTTTTTTTCACACTTACTTTTTAGTTTATCAATATATCACACGGACAATTTTGTAGTTTTAAATTTCTCTCTCTTACTTTTTTCTTTTACTAAAATATTTGTACCCAACCCCTATAGTGCAATAATAAAAAAAACGGAGGAAGTATATGACATTAATATTTTAATATCTACAAATATTAGATTATTAATGTCATATATTAGAATATTATTGTCAAATATAAGACTATTATTGTCAGGTATATTGAACTCACCGTGAGTCTGACTTACCCAAGTATTTAGTTGGCGCGTTTGATTTAAACACATATATTAAGGAGATGAGAGAAAGAATGAAAAGGCAAGTGGGGTAGCTTGTAAATGTAAGGTAAAAATTTTACCCCAAAAAGAAACGTGTCAACTAAAAAAAAAAATCTTAAAAAGGAATACGTGTACTGTCAACTAAAAAGAAACGGAGATAGTATTTGAATTTTGATAAAATTCATGTTAAGAGCTCGATTGAATGATGTTAATATGATCTTGAATTCTTGATTGAGTTGTTGCCGTAGCTTATGGCCATTCAGAGAATTACTTATATGTTGTGTTTGGATCCTTCTATCAATTCATATGTAATTAAAAAATTGGGTCATGGCTCAGAATCGGGGCTTTCATCAGCTTCAAATTCATACTGACTGCATGGGGGTTCTTTCCAGTTTACCAGATCATTGTTCTAAAGATATTTCTGCAGTTTGGATTCATCAACAAATAGAAGTCATTATAAATAGAGGCCTTCTATGCGTGTTCTGTTCGGAAGGTTGCCATAATACTATTAGGCCAGCGCATGAGCTCGCAGTTTCAGAGAGGAAGCGTCATATCCATTGTTTTTTCTTTTAGTCAGTTTGTTTGTTTTGTTTTTTTAGAGTGGATCTTTGTTAAAAAAAAAAGGGGGTCAATTATTTGACATCTACAACATAGAAAGGATCCAAATTGAATGAAAAGTCGAAATTATTTACTAGAAAAAAAAAATTACACAATCAACACAATGTTTTCACACGCAGAAACAAAACATTTAAAAAAAAAACAAAAAAACAAAACAAAACAACAACACAACATTAAAATGTTTCAAATTCTCCAAATTTATAAATCTATAAATTAGGAGTAATTTGAAAGTCATACAAGTATTTCTCAAAGAGAGGTATGTGGTCATTGTAAAGCTTAATAGTTAATAAAATGACACCTTCTTCGTTTGGGCTTGGTATAAAGAATGCTTGCCCCTCATGTCTAATTCCACCTTGGGCCACAGTCTTGGGCTTGCCCCAACCAAAATCTCCTAAATTAAAAGGGAGTTTGGCCCAAGAATTTATCACAAGGTTTGGACATGTAACATGTTGCACCCCACGTACAAGTGTATCTAGATTAGGTTGTGATTCTATGTAATCAATTGCCGATCTCAAATATTCCGTGCTTTCAACTTTCTTTAGCGCTTCGTGAACCATACTCGCGGCATACGATACCGGCTTGCACGTGAGATCACGCGCCTTAGCAATACAAGCTGCAAAGAAAACTACATTGCCAAAGTACCCTCGTGGTAGAGTTGGATCCCTCAATCTTGACCGCCCATCAGTGGGTATATAGAGTTTCACGTATTGATCACCTGTTAAACCGCGTGCTTTGCACGTGCTTCGCCATATGTGCCCAGCTAGCACCTCGTATGTACTTAGCTTGTAGGTTTGAACCTCCTGTGGTTGTGATGTGGCTTGTAATTTTAAGGTGTTTATGTTACGTTTAGAGAATTTGAACATACATTCCCTTGCGCTTGCCATTTCACCTAATTAAAATCATAGCCACCTCAAGAATTTAGTCATTATTTGCTATATAAATTTTTTTTTGCTCAATACACGCGGTTAAAAATAGACAAATTCTAGTAGGCATTTACATGAATTCGTAATTTAAATTAGTCAAAATAGTTTTTTGTATTATTTACATGTCTTGTTTTAACCATAGAAATGCGTCAACCGTACCATCAGAAATTACGTAAATATAAAGAAAATCAAAGTAGGCAATTTAAATGAATTCGTAATTTAGATTGATTTATAGGCAATTTTGTTTCAATAATTCTAGTAGACTAGTAGTATTTGAAACTTTTCGTTTTAGATAGATTTTGTATTATTCACATGTCTTGTTTTAAACTTTTAACCATAGAAATGAGTCAACCATCAGAAATTGCGTAAACATAAAGAAAATCAAAATTTGTGTTAGAATGTGACTCGAACCTGTAAGACCCTTAGGTAGTACGGGTGGCAAAGGTGGCTCATACTCCAAATGTCGAAACTTGATCTGAGGCGGATCACGAGGAGCAACATAGACGGCCCGATCGTGGAAGGGCATAACGGGGAGGTCAAGCCCCCTAGCCAATCTAGCCCATGATACAAGGAAGTAACCAGATCCAACTCCATCAATTACATGGTGATGTGTTGCACACCCCATGCCTACACTACCACACTTGAATCGTGTGATTTGTACCATTAGCAAGGGGAACGACGAAAGGCCACCCGAGAAATCGCACGTAGGGATCACTACCTTGCGAAAATCGGTACCTAAGTCCGCAAGAGTATGCGTTGTTTCTACCTCTTTAAATAAAGCACCGGCCGCATTGCAATCGATCTCGTATCGACCATTCTCTTCATTCTTTTTTAATCTTCCCGCCATCGGATAGAATGGTACTAAAATTTTACTTAGGGACTCCTTTAAAATTTTTGTGTCAAAAAATTTTGGACCGTTATTATCTTTTAAAGGACTATAAACGGCTATAATGTTGGTGTGGGAATATGGCATGCGTATGATCATGTCTAGCCTTGAGAGCCAAAGATTTTTCTTAGGAGTCTCCTCGGCCGGGCAAACCATGGTAGACTCTCTTACGATCACGCTCATTTTGTTATATTTTTTGGTTTCTCAATCTTATTTTTAAAGCTTAACAAGTGTTTAACAATTGAGGACTAATGAAATAGTGCTTGGGATGCAATTAGCGTAGACTTTTAAGTGATCAAAAGTTATCTAGGCTAACTACTATGTGATAGGATAAACAAAAAGGAAGAATATTATGGATTGAGTGAGTCATGCTTTGTCTTTGAATTATTAGTGATGATTAATATACTTCACAAATATGGATTATCTTGTTATGATTTGGAATCATTAGAATTTAGAAATGATTAGTGGAGGTATATTCCTTTTTAATTTTGAAGATGAAGTCATTGATTGCAACATGTTGCACCAAATACAATTGATTGTTTGAAGTGCTCCTACCAAACTTTTGGTGATCAACAGTTGGAAAACAGCAGTGGATCGAAACTTATTGTTTTTAGTTTTAATATATCTGTCAAATTTCGACTTTTTGCATTATTTGTTTATAACTATAGTTTTTTTTTTTTTTTTTTTATATATTTTTTTAATCAAACTCTAGTTTATGAGATCTTGATAGAATTATCAATGTATTTTTTATAATATCATTTTTGTTATATTTTTTTTTAACTTATCGATAATCGTAATTATTGAATTTGTGTGTTAGACAAACATGATAAAAGAAACAAATTAACTAAAAAAGAACCCAAAAAGTTGGTGAAAAAAAAAAGTTTACAAAGAGATTATGAAAGAAAAAATCTATTTGAGTGATATTGAGTAGTTTAGAGCCCACCATCGAAAAAGGTACATAAATTGTTGATTTGTTGGACCTCTTAGCCCAATCCGATTAAGGCTCCAAATTTCTATATTTAGACAAGCTGTGTCATGGCCTTTTCTTTTGGTTTTTAATGTTAGTTTAGTTCAATTTATTATTTTATTACTCCTAATTGACTTTTTTTTTTTTTTTTTTTTTTTTTTGAAGAAATGCTAATTGACTTTTTTGAATAAAGTCCATTACTTTTAACTTTTTTTTAAAAAAATTGTTTTATTTGAAAGAGCAACATATATTCTATATGGTTGGCCACACACAAAACTTTCATATAGTCACCTACCACATCAACACAAATAATGTAACCTCCAAAATAATGAAATTTAAAAAACGCGTCTTCACTCTTTTTTCTTACAAAACACTCGCACACAAAACTTCGGTATAGCCACCTAACACAATAACACAAATTTAAAAAACGCGTCTTTATCTTTTTTTTCTTACAAAACATGCACAAAGCTCTAAACTTGTTATCATGTACAAATGTTATTTATTTATTTTTTTTTTTTTTTTTTTTTTGACAAGAGCAAAGACTAAACAGAACTAGAAATTAGACATAAAATTAGTTAAAGTAATTCGACATTGTCTTGCAATGTCGTGAGCCCTTTGAACCTGATCTCTTTGGACTTTTAAAATTGTGCACCTTTGGAATGACCCTCCCACTTCCTTGATCTCTTTAATCGTCCATGCTATCGAGACATCTTTGCCAAGTCCTCCTTGCAGATTGATGATGAGAGCTACTGAATCAGTTAAGATTAGAATCCCCTGCTCTCCTTTTGCTTTTGCCCATTTCAAAGCTTCCAGGCATGCCCACGCCTCGCATTGCAGTGCAGAGGAAGCCGCCCCATGCTTCCCTCCCCCTTGTGTACCTGAATTGTCGTTCCCACTGCTAGAGACAGCCCATCCAATCCCTGCCCATGTAGAGTGTTTGTCCCAAGAACCATCAACCTCCACCATGAACTTATCATATCTGGATTTGTCAATTCCCAAACTAACCTGAAAGAACCCTGGAGGGTGGCTATGATCATTCATAGTATTCCCTACTATGCTATTCTCCCCCTCTTCTGCTTGAACAATCTCATGATCTTGTAAGGCCCTGTTGATAAATTCAACCGCCAGAATTGTACTCCCCCTAGCCCCTTTGAAAACCGTCTCATTTCTAGCTTTCCACAGGCCCCACAGGGTTGCTATAAAGTACATGATGCGCACACTATGCTTACTGATTAGGGGATTTTTATCCACCAATCAGCATCCGACACGTGGGCCAGCCAGGTTTTGCCATGTGTCCTTCATGTAGGCCAATAGGAGCCTGCCACGTGTCATCAAGAGATTCGTCCTCCTTGGACCAATTACAATGTGACACGTGTCCACCCATGCCAAATGGGAAAACCGGCCAACAAGGCCCAATCATTGTGGAGGCCCAGTCAGCCTTAGGTTTAACCTAAACCTAGTACTGGCACGCATCCCAAGGCATATAAATATGCCCATTAATCCTCATTAAGGGAGAGGACACACATTTAACACTCTCACCTAGAGAGACCCAATTACTTTTATTTCCGCATTAATTACTCCTTAATCAAGTACTAACTTGACCGTCGGAGGCGGATCTCCAATTGTCCGGAGCATCTGTTTGTTTTGCAGGTACAGGCGTCTGGTTCCAATCTCAGAATTGTAACTCTCCCGCAGGACATCAGAAAACCCCGAAACATTTTGGCGCCGTCTGTGGGGAGAGTACTTCTGAGATGGCATCCACGTCTGTACCGACTCTTGAAGAGAGGCGTCCCCTGGACGACCCTCAAGTTCAGTCGGACCATGATACTGAGGAAGAATTTGAAGTTGAAGCTCACACAGCTTCAGACGGGACCCTAAGGGCCCGACGCACCCGTCATACCGAAAGGAGAGAACGGGAAGATCTTCAAACTGGACTCAGTAATCCTGCCGGCGCACCGCCTTTTCAGCAGCAGCCGGCTGATGGGTCTGTTCCCATTACAAGAAACGAACTCATGACCTTCATGAGAGGCTTCAAGGCAGAGATTCAAGAGTTGCTCAACAAGAAGCCGCCTGCTCCGGCCAAGGAGCAGTCGGCTAAGAAGCCTTCCTCTTTAGGGAAGAGGAAGCCTGTTCAAGGGCGAGAGGCGACCCCTCATCCTAACTCTAGGAAGTGGGAGCCGCCTGTCCTTGATTTCACAAAGTACCGCTTTCCTACTCCAGGAAAGAGGAAACCTGTTCGTCATATTCAGGCGGACGGGTCGAAGAAAACATAAACAGATGCTCGGCTATTGCTAGAGCAGAAAAAGAATGACCGATTGTCAGAGTCGGCTTCTACTTCAGACTTCCAAGACAGTCTACGCAATACCTCGATGAGGTATACTCAGTCGCATCATGAGAGTCAGTTAGGCGGTACCTCCTGTCAGTCCGGCTTTCATAGTGACCAGGCGGTACCAAACTTACCATTTGTACCGCAACAATAATATTTTTTGCAGCCACCTCTGTTTGGAGGGCATGCAGCAAAGAATGTCCAACCTATGGACTGGCAGCTACGGTTTCTTAGACTTGGGGAACAGCCGTCGGCCTTCTCTAAGGAAATTACTGAAGCTGCTCAGCCGGCCAAAGTGAAAAATGTATTAGTAGGCGCCTATGACGGCACTACTAACCCAGAAGACCATTTGATGGCATTCACCAACCTGATGTACCTTCAAGGGTTAGATGATCCCACTTGGTGCAAGTGTTTTCCAGCGACTCTTAAAGGAATCGCACAACAATGGTTCGGCAACCTGCCGACTGGTTGTGTGAATAACTTCAAGACGCTTGCTTACTTATTCACCTCCAACTTTGCCATGAACATACCTGCGAAGAAGACGACCCTTGATTTAGGAACGATTCAGCAGGGCGAGAAGTAGGGGCTTCGTTCTTACATCAGGCGGTTTAACCTGATGAGAATACAGATTCAAGGGTTACCGGATGAGGTAGCCTATACTGACTTTTTCAGAGGCCTCAAAGACGGGTCGACATTCAAATTTGATTTGGTTCGAAAGAGGGTGGCGACTCTTCAAGAGGCCTTGATTGAAGCGGAAGCCTATATACAGGCGACTGATCTTTGTAGTACGGGAAAACAGTCGGACGGGAAAAGGTTCGACAAAAGAGAAGGACGACAGAAACAGTCGTCGAACAAAGATGAGAAGAAGAGAAAAGAGGTATGGGCGGCTGATTCCTCTAAACAGCCGGCCCAGAAGAAGAGGAAAGAATTCAAACCATACTCCCCAAAGTATGCGTTTAACAAGGATAGCCAAGCTATCCTAAAGGAAATCAAGGGACGGATCTCAATTGAGAAGCAGGCCCCCATGAAGGGTTTTGCAAGCAACCGGAACCAAGAAAAATTCTGTGATTATCATGAAGATGTTGGTCATCACACCAACGAATGCATCAGTCTCATGCGGTATCTGGACCGCCTAGCTGAGCAAGGCGATCTTGACTCTTATGTCAAGAAATCTACGGGGAACACTTCCTCGAAAAAGCAGTCGGCCAAAAAGAGTCAACAGGCCGACAGCTCTGATACAGATGATGCAGTCGTCTACACCATTGCAGGCGGCCCCACTATTAGGGGCAACAAAGACAATATCAGGCGGCTAGACGTAAATTCCGTTCACCAAGAACGGCCATCCAAATATTCATTTCCTGAGATTGTCATCACTGAAGAAGATCTAGGAGGGGTAAGGGGGCCGCATGACGACCCTATCATTATTGAATGTAAAATGGCCAACCAGAGAGTTGGCCGAATCCTTATAGATACCGGAAGCTCCTCAGATCTTATCAGTAGAAAATGTCTGTCAAAACTCAAATATCAGACTAATTGCATACATCCGGCATCCCACCCTTTAGTAGGGTTTGGAGGAGGAGTCGTCCACCCAATGGGACGAGTGGATTTACCCATCCGCCTGGGTGAAAAAGGGGAAGGACGACACATGGTAGTCCGGTTCCTGGTAGTAGAAGAACTCTCGGCCTACAACATGATTCTGGGACGACCAACCCTGAATAATTCCAAGGCTGTTATAATCCCCTCTCTTATGTTGCTCAAGTTTGAGAGGGATGATGGAACAATCGGGTCCCTAAGGGGAGATCAGAGGATGGCCCGAGAGTGCTATCTCTCGGATATCAAGCCCACTATTATGGCCGCTGGGTCAAGTGGTGGAAAAACAGACCTTGACAATGTCAAGGAGAGTGCGCCTGTTCAAGAAGCAGGCGGCAAGAAGAGAAAGGCAGCCCAGACGGGGGCCGCAAGAAAAGACAGAAAATAGCAATCATTGGCAGAGGAGCGGTCGGATGAATTCCGCCCTCAGCTGGCTGGTGAGCATACGGACCTGATCTTAGACGACTCGCGTCCTGACCGAACAGTCAAA